CGATCAGTTTGGCTGGTGAGGTAGACCAGCATTAGGACCATCAGTATATAGACAGAGTAATACCGTTTGGACGCTCTATTAACTAATGACCCGCTGGGGATGGAGCTACTTATGGATGAACCAGTTAAACCGGACATATTGCCAACCACTGCACTGCAGCAACCAGCCACTCCCCTTTGCTGCAAGACTGACCACGCCCACTTTAATTAATGTCAATTTCTTTGCTAAAAAATGTGTGCACAAACTAAAAAGCTCAAGTTTACAATGTCCTTTATCGTTTGAATATGATTGCAACTAGCTCCATGACTGGTTTGCAGCAGTTCCTCAGTGGGCTCAGGACTGGTATGGTAGCATTGAATAACCAGCTCACAAGCTTCAGCAATGGAATGTAGACCCAGTTCATTGCAAAGGAGGTTATCCCTAGCAACAAACCCCACACTATAATGAAAGGGAATCCAACAATCATCACTAGACAATTGTACGAAATGGTCTTTGTAATTTCATACAGTTTCTTGTGAACCATCTTTATCTTTCGAGCAGTAAGAGTGCTGGATTCTTCTGATATGAACTTATCAAAATCAAGCTAAAGAGAGAAAGAGAGGGGGAAGATATTAACAATAATTAGATTACATAATGATTAACTTACACTAGGTCTTACATACGCTTCATCAAAAGCATCACTATAAGTCTTAGCAGCAACTGGTGGAGTGTCCTCTTCACCATTGGGACCAGCTCCCTCTGCAGTTATGTCTAGAGCAACCTCAGAAAGAACATTAGCTGCTTCTGGTAATACTGAAGGTATTTTAGGAGCCTCAACTATTGATGGTATATCAATCACTGCAGGAAGTTCTTGCATTGGTAGTGAAGGGAGTTCCTGCATTGGTAGAGAAGGAAGTTCCTGCATTGGTAGAGAAGGAAGTTCCTCAATTGGTAGTGAAGGAGGTTTAAAGTGCTTTGAAATCGCAGGAGGTTTAAAATGCTTTGAAATTGCAGGAGGTTTAAAATGCTGTGGAACTGCAGGTGGAGTGGGTTCAAACTGCTGCTGGTGCTGCAGAGGAGGAGGAGGAGGAGGGAAGTTTGTTGATTCTAAAGGAGGAGGAGGGAATGATGGAGGGTATGGTTGTTGCTGTCCTAGTGCTGCTACTACTGACAGCTTTGAGCTCTTTTTAGGAGGAGGAGGAGGAGGCATTTTATAAACCTTATACTTGAAGCTACTCCAGTAGTGATATGACCTGCTCCTTCAGTGAGGAAGGATCACAGTACGCATGAGTATATATATACATGTACTGTGAATTATTCTTTGACACTTGTACAAAATAACTGTTTAATGTAAAGTACAAATTTTCAATTTAAACTGCTAAAGATAACTTTATAAATCAATTATAATACTAACAATAAACAATAAACAATGAAAATGAATAATGAATGCAACAAAACATTTAGTTTAATTAAGGGAAGGCATTCACAACAAACAAGGCAATTATGATGGATAGCAATTCACATAAAGAGACTATTCTCTTGCAATTATACATTGTAAATGTGATTCATGGTTTAATTCATAGAAAACTTTAGAAAAACATTATTAATTAAGAATCATATGTATAAATCAAGAACAAAATAAAATGATAATAATATAATAATAATAATAATAATAATAATATAATAATAATAATAATAATAATAGGACTCTACCTGTCCTGCCCTCTGTGGATGGGCTGATTTAACTTTTCTCTCTCTCTCGTCTTTATTCTTCTTTTTGTTTCTTCTCTCCTTTCCATTTTTGTGATTATGGGTTTCTCCCTCTTTTCCCACATCTCTCTTACTCTCTCATAATAATAGTAATAATAATAATAATAATAATAATAATAATAATAATAATAATAATAATAATAATAATAATAATAATAATAATAATAATAATAATAGTAATAATAATAATAATGAATAATTAAATACTTACACAACTGATGTAACTTGTACTTGGCACAAATCAATTAATTGAGCTTCAGTTAATTGAATATTAATAATTAATAAAACATTATTAATATAATTAACTAACGACTGATAGATCAGCTTAACTAGTGGTAGCAGCATACCTTGATTTAATAAACTTAATATAATATAATATAATATAATATAATTAATTAATTATTAGTTAATTACTTTTCAATGCTCATGATTAGTTCTTCCAAACACCTTAAGACGGTCATCAGTTTCATCTCAGCCTCTTCATTAAAAGACTGATTCAATAACGATCCTTGAACACTCATACTAAGTAATAATTTATATTAGTTCATACTTTCTACACAACATAAGTGCATGTATATGTATCAGGAAATGTAATAAAAATGAGGTTTATTCCCCTTTTAAATTTTTAGAAAATTTGACCAAAGTCACTGTACTATAGTACAGGGACTTTAACCCAATTTCGGAGCATTTTAAAAATGCTTGTAAAACATCCAATTTTGATCAGAATGAGCTCAATCTTTCTACACAACATAAGCACATGTACCGTATAGCGCTTCATTTTCGAGGAGCTAAACTTTTGCTAATTTCGCAGTTAGCATGAAACCGCGAAATTAAAAATCCGCTAAAATTTCAATTGCCATTAAAGGTGTGGCACCATTATTGCGAATCCGCAAAAGTTATTTCCGCAAAAAATTGATTTTTATCAATCCGTGAAATTTTAGCTCCGCAAAATTAAAGCGCTATACGGTATATGCATCAGAAAATGTAATAAAAATCAAAAATTCTCTCCTTTTCATTTTTGACAAAATTTAGCCAAAATCCCTGTACTATAGTACAGGGACTTTAACCTAATTTTGGAGCATTTTTAAAACATTCATTAAAATCTACTATTTGCAAGATTACACCACAACTGTAAGGAAAACCCTGTCATTAACTGATCTTACATGGTACTGATGATACTCTCCCTAACTGATCCAAAGATGAACGTCAGATGATCCAATGGGCTACCAGTCAGTACTGGAGGAGATGATGGGAGAGAGGAGGGGGTAGGTAGGGGGGATAACGTGGGTAGACCCTGTAATTAATATTAATTAATCAGTTATTATTAATATTAATTATACATGTACTATTGTAGGATGAGTGGTTGTTGATGGGTGTGGTTTTGAAAGTGGTGGGTGTGGCTTCACCCACCACTGGGTGTGGGTGAGGCTTGAGTAAGTAATTAGCTAATATGGTAGCTAATGTCAATACAATGGATATAAAGAGCTAAAACTATGAAGTAGAAAAGTTGTTATTAAACTAGAGCCATAGCCATACAGTTTAAGACATTATGGCATCAAACTCTGCATTCTTTGCAAATTCTTTCAAGCAAGTGACTGGTACTTGGAAGTGGTTGGTACCTTGAAGGTAGTTCTGATGTGCAGAAATGGAGAGAGAAAATGCTAAAAAAGATTATTATATGCAATTTCTTACTGATGCATAAGCCATTGCGTTCTGCTTCTCATCAGCGCTTGCACTGTGCCCAATCCAAACAAAGCACTTCTTTCCAGTGTCAACAATAAAGATAGCTTGAGTGGGTGTGGCTTGAGTAAGCCACACCCACTCCAGTTAATTAATTACTCTGTCTGGTCTCTTGGTGCTCCTGCAGTTCTTGTAAAAGTTTCTTAGTTTTAAAGTTTGAGCGCCCAAAAGTGAAATTAAACACAGCTATCCAGTGCCTATATTACTTTACTTTACTTTAAATAACTTTACTGTATACAAATGTATACAGATGGACAGCCAGCTTCCTGAGCTGACCGCCATAAAATAATATTAATATTAATTAAAATTTCAATTAATTAATTACTTGTTTAATAAATACAAGACATCATCCAAACTCCAGGGAGGTTTACGAGCCAATATATCATTACTGGTCTCAGGAATTAATTAATTAATTAATAATAATAATGATACCTCAGTTCTCCATAAACAGTCTTCATCTCATGATTGATGATAACTGATAATGATTCCCTTGCATGAGATTCAGCCTCACACAATATATCATCATACTATAGAGT